GCGCGCGCGCGCGTGCGCGTTTGATCCCACTCTGTAACGTAACACGCGCGATTAGGAAAACTCATTATAACACTCTCGACCTGTGGGTGCGTGCATTAGTGCGTATGATGGGCTCGTGCATGCGAGCGTGTGCGTGCGTGTATGCGCGGGCATATATAGGTATGCGTGTGTGGGCGCTCGTGATAATGGCATCAGGTGCGTTCTATTTATCTCTGTCCCAACGTTTGATAGACATCAGTTGTGGCAAGAACCCAGTGACATGATGTTAATGTATTCTCGGTAATGGTTTTGCTATCGTTGGCGTCCATCAGTAATTGTTGCGCTGATTGCTAGTGTCCATCAATCAGTATACGCAAATATTGATTATTGATTCTGCTAGTGCTCGTCTTCCTCGCAGAGTGAACAATGCCTCTAAAACCAACGAGGACATTGATTACATATTCACTGAATGCCACTGGTGAATTGTCTATATGTCAACTTTTTATGAGGGGTATATTTGTGAGAATAGAGTAGTTGCTGCACGGAGATTCTGATACAACAGCACAGAAATATATCGTTGAAGTCTTACCTGGTCGAAATGTGTTTACAGTTGTTTAGAATCCAAAATAGACGAGGGATTTGACTTGGTTGTGGTCGCAATAGGAATTGTATGCATATACATTTACATTACAATTACATACAACAATACATACAATTACATATATATACGTATATGTATGTATTTCTATGGTAGTCGCTATCAAAACTGTACGATAGGTGCTTTTGTTTGTTTACATCGAACGAAACGGCAAATTGGAAATATAATGCTAAAAAGTAATCACAAAGAGTGATAAATCCCTTATTTGTATTTCCATTGTTTATAATGCCAAATAACAGTATTCTGGTGTTAATTAAGGTGACATCGCCGCTCTACTGATGATATCAAGTGCTAATAATACATGTATTACATAATACTATCAAGAGATACTATAGATATACTACTAAGTGCTAATAATACATTATTACAGTATTATTAGCTCTTGATAATACTCGATATATAAACCCAATCGCTTAGTCCTTGTCGTAAAACGAGGCACTTGCATGATGAATCGCATGATTAGTATATCACGGCATTATCTCAACGTTTGTGGAATTTGTGTAATTACAGGAGTTTAGACCAGAATCTCTACAACAAAGCTACTGAGCTACAGGATGATGTCAGCAAAAAGCGCAATGACATCCGGCTGGCGCAGATGCACCTAGCTGCCGTACAAGCTCAGGTAGGACTGCGCTAGTTGCATTGTGTATAACATACAATCAAGAGTGTATAATATAGATTGTAATACTTGAGATTGTAATTAGATTATGATTTCGATTGTTAATAATACAGATTGTAATAATTGTAATATAAATTGTAATGATTGAAATATAGATTATATCAGGAGTAGATAATTGAGATCTCTATTATCTCTATCTCTAATCTCTATCTCTATCTCTATCTCTATCTCTATCTCTAATCTCTATTATCTACTCCTGATTATATGGCTCCTACTCCAGACCTGGGGTCGGCAGCTGGTGTGTTTTCGCTTTCATATATCAGATACGCGCCAATCGGCTCCTTATATTATCGCTAGTTTGCTAGACTGCCGTTGCGGATCGTGCGCAATATCCAGCAGTTGTGCGAGCAACTATAACCTTTTAGCCGGCTTGGTAAATTTCCTGTTTTTTCTGGTAATGAAAATTCTTGCGCGGCTGAACGATCGAGCTAAAAGTAGTGCTCTGTGTTTGTTGTAAAAACCCTAAATCTCTCGTTATCGGGCTGCGAATTCAGAACCGTCAACCCAGAGATGGTTTTGTTGCAGATTTGAATTTCGGGACATCTTTTGAAAGCCAACGGAATGAGTTATTAATTTTGTTTATATTTCTTTGCTACAATTTATAGCGGAATCGTGTTTATGAATACGTTTCAAAAATTAAATCGTGATGTCATCAGGATTTTTTTTATCGGTGAAGTTTATCTTCCACTGACTTTCCACGTGGTGAACACATTTTCCTTTATCTGCCCGCATTACATTCATTGCGAATACGCATTTATTTGCCTGTTAGACTACATGTAACGATCGAGCGATGCGTTTTATTAGCCGATTTTAGCAGTAAAAATACAAAAATTCCGCCTTTTTCTGTCGCAAGATGTCGCCATTGTTCCCACTAGCATTGACCATACCATAGATATAATTATATACCAACCAATATCGATATATATATATATATACCGATATATACCGATATATATATCTATGACCATACCAATGGTTTATTTACAGCTCTTATAGTAAAAGTGAAATTGTGTCTACAACCGACCGACCGAATCGCAAATGGTCCCGAAATTGATACGCTTAATTGTCAGAAGTCAGAAATTAATTGAAATAACATTAACGTGCTAAACCCCAAGTTCTAGTGTGTGTGTGTGTGTGTGTGTGTGTGTGTGTGTGTGTGTGTGTGTGTGTGTGTGTGTGTGTGTGGTGTTGTGTGTGTGTGTGTGTGTTGTGTGTGTGTGTGTGTGTTGTTGTGTGTGTGTGTGTGTGTGTGTGTGTGTGTGGTGTGTGTGTGTGTGTGTTGGTTTGTGTTGGTGTGTGTGTGTGTGTGTGTGTGTGGTGTGTGTGTGGTGTGGTCGGTGTGTGTTGTGTGTGTGTGTGTGGTTCGGTGTGCGCTCGAAGTGACGACATATATGCTAGTTCTTCTCAACATGAACGCTGCGGCCTTCGGCTGGTTCAAACGATAAAGGTTCTTTTAGGAATTGCCTGTTAAACGTACTACGTAATTTTCAATATACATCGATGATAGCATGTTACTACGTTAAACGCGCAAAACAATAGTGATTGCTCGTCATAGCAGTAGACTGGTAATAAATCATGCAAATGGTCCCAACGCGATTATTTAATGGCCGAGTAGCGAGGAAACTTTTCAATCATGCTCACCGACTTAATGTTTCCACGGTTGAAAATCTGCGTTGGTACATAATATTAATTGGCATGACGGGAGTTGGAGGGAGGTGAGGAAAGAGTCACTATAGCGCAAGGCGGGCGTCTGTTAATTTCTGCATCGCCTCATATCTGTACTCGCACACCCTGCAAAGACTTGCGTGATGTTCTGATGATTCTGGGACATGATCTAAGGTGTGTCGTGTATTAGTATCGTATTATATACGCACACGAACATGTGAAAATGCTCACCAAATTATGACGCATTTTTTTGGCTTGCACTTCGTGATATTTTACTGCTGTAAAATTGGGCGCTGTGATTCGATGTAAAATGGTGATGGTCGCGAGGAAGGCGCAGCCAGCATGAAAACTATTAGTGTTCTATAGACTGCAAACATTGAGTTTTCAAGTCACACCTCGGCTAGTTACCCATGCAATGCGTTAATCTCAGCAATCGTATTTTCCTAATTTTTAGGTTATAATTAATGCGTTTCTCCACCGGAATTTATAATGTATCTAAGCAATGTAGTTTCCTATTTAAGCATTTTGTGCATAACCGTATATTGATCAGATAGACTTAATACAACCCTGCGGCAATGTTTACATCGGCAACTGCGTCCCGCGTTTTCTAAGCGGAGTAATATTGACACAGCGGCTCCGTGTGACTCGGCTTCTCTTTGTATATATCTGTGCGTCGTTAACGCATAAAAAAATAAGCCGATATTTATGTAATTGTAAGAAAGAAATTGAGTTGAAGTCACTGATTATTATTTCTTAATATTAGTTTATAGTGCTTTTTTTAAAGTGTTCTTTCGTTGTTTTACGAAACTGCTATCATAGACCAGACTAGATGCTGTTGCTGTACAGCCTGCAAACGCTTAAGTAAATTTTGAACGAACGGTCACAACGGTTTTTTTAAATATTTTGCGAACTATATTCATCAATTCACAAGGCTTACAAGTTTGTGCTGAAAGTCGCATTTCTGGTACATGTTCATGTGGTAATCAAGCAATGGTAGTGTATATACGAACATTTATTACAGCTCTTCATCGAGGGCCAGCAGTTGGGGCAAGCGCCTATTAACCGGTTATAAGCAGTTATAGGCTCTCTGTTGCACTTTTTTCTTTTTAGAGTATGATCGTGCATCGCGCTAATCCTAGTTTTGCTGTTGCCTCGTATTCTATGCAGAGAATTTCCCTGTCAGTGTGAGTGTTCCGCGTCCCGTGGGGCTGCTCTCGGCATGCACCATCCTACGCAAACGAAACCGGCGTATAAACATTCACTCTGTGTAAATAAATTAGGTACATATCAATTAGGCATACGCGCACGTATGTCACTGAAAGCAGAGAGATGGTACTGACAAGACAAGTCAACCTGAAATACATTGGCGTCGCGTATTCTATTAGTCAATATAACAATCTGCATCGTTTACCTCAGAGGTTACCAGCTATGATTGTCGTCTCTTTACGTTTAGTCTCTTACGTCTCTTACGTTTACGTCTCTTTACGTTTACGTCTCTTACGTTTACGTCTCTTACGTTACGTACTCTTTAGTCTCTTACGTTTAGTCTCTTACGTCGTCTCTTTACGTTTCCGCATGAAGTGTATATTAACCGACGAATCTACCCCCAAGAATCTAGGTCAGAGAGCCTAAAGCCGTAGGCCCATGGCTTCATACTTTCTGATACGATGTCACATTAGCGCCATCTGTAGACGACGAAACGAAGTTAACGAACTACAAAGAACACTCATATGTATGAGTGCAATTAACCACCTCCACGCGGCATTTGTTACGCGTTACTTTTATAAATTATTTTAACCAATGTTTTTATTAGAAATATTCAGTTTAGGGTTAGGGTTATTCATTAATAATTTATTTTGCATTTTTTTTTTTTTTTTAGCGCTCACGCTGTTACTTCACTCACGCACTTACTCTTTCACCTTCTTTCCGAGTCCCTCCCTGAAACTGTTGTTTGGGAGGGAGGCGTAAAATTCCGGCAAAGACTATGTGAGCTGTACACCATGTCTCAACAGCAAGGCCTTGGATGTTTCTAGAAAGCGAAGTTCTTGCAAAGCCGAATGACATCGGCTTGGTATTTTCAGCTGCCAGACTGCTGCCTGTTGCCCACTGCCTGAGATATGACATGTGTCTTGGCATGCCACATCACCGCTGCGTGTCTAAGATCCACCGCCAAGTGCAAAAGGAAATGTCTGACACTTTGTAGAGTTAACCGCGGCAATTTTACTAAGCCATGGGTTCTATTAGAACACTAGCATTAGCTAACATTCTAATCTAACATCTTCTAATCTAGCTAACATCTCTCTGTCATAAAATACCGACCGCGTAATTTTCAAATAAGGCCATGAATCTAAACATCATCGTTAGCTAATGTCGTCATGGATTTAGAGTCAACATACACATTGTGTACGTAGTTTTTGCTCCCGACTTAAATTACCGATTTGTGTGTACGGAGAAAACTGACTGCGACTATTGCATATTGTGCTGGTGCAGCTGGCTGGTTAGTAGACCTAGTCTGTAACCAGCACTTACTGTCTCGTGACGTCCGCAAACTGATTGTGTTACTATTCTAGTGTTTGCTCATCGCACAGAAAGCGTGTTGAGTGCGCCGTGCGTGCCCTCTGATTCTCTTACGCCCCTCCCTTTGCCCCTCTCTACCTCTCGGCCCTTCCTCCTCCTTTAATTCCTTCCACCCATTCCCGTCCTCTCCCTCTCCTTTTCTTTCTCTTACTTAATCTTCTTGCATATATAGTATCAAGAGCTAATTATAATTATATAGCAATTATTAGCTCTTCATGGTATATA